TTGGAAAAAGTCATCCCAACTTACTGTGTTGAGTTGGCATTGTACAGAAATGGACAGCCATATTGGTCTAGAAATGTTAATTTTTTTTTCCATTTGTACAGGGATAACGCATTGTACTAAATATATAAGGTCATATCACGTGGGTTTTATTACAGAAACTAATAAAGTATTCTCTAAATAATGAAAAAAAGAATAAGACTACAAGAGCAAGAAGAAATTTAAATATGTTAAGAGACCATTTTCATCTTCAGAATTAAGGATTATTTTAAGAAGAAGAAGAAGTCTGAGAACTTGTTTTTCTAACAGAAGTAATCAAATAGAATAGTTTAACAGCAAGGAAAAATATCTAGAAGACTGATGCAAGGTACTTTATACCCTACACATAAAGTGCTTCTTGTAAATCCAGGAGCTCTTGTCATTAATTGTCAACAATTTGGAAAATATGTGTAAAACAGATTTGATTTCTCAAGTCCTATATTATGATTGAATTTCAAATTTTAGCAACTGTTATCTCAAGGCAGAAATTTGTAAAATGTAACATGACTCTTGTAGACTTACTATAAATGGTAGCTCATGAAGATTGACAGTGGGGCAAAGAGTATTTGGCACAGCCACTTTTGAGGTTTTGTTGTTTTTGAGACAGGGTCTCACTATGTAGTTCAGGCTGGCCTCAAACTTTTGGCAATCTTCCTACTAAGCCTCCCAAATGCTAGGATTATAGGCATGTTCCACCACACCTGACCAGCATAGGCATTTTAGTAGTACCCACCTTAAGTATCACTGACCTACATGCACTCTCCCTACCCCATCTGCCACAAAAAATAGAAACTAGATCGTCTATTGACATTTTATTATCTGACTCTCCAGGCTTCAATGGGAGAAGGGTTTAAAATGCAATTATTCTTTAAGAGCCAGAGAATTCAGAATTTGGTAGAATCTAAGAACAGGTACTCAGATCTCCATACAGAAAAACAAACATCAAACACTACAGTGTTTGCTCATTTGCTTAGCAGCAAAGAAAATCTCAATTCAGTTGTGATTTGACTTAGGCCAGAGTCTAGTGACTTATGATAAATAAATCATGCAAACCAAATGTTCCTATATTCTATGTTCTATCCAACAGAACCAGAATATAAAGCAGTCAGAACTGAAAATGATTTTTAAATATCTGATTTGAACCATTTTTATAAAAGCAAAAATGTGCTTAGGAGTTAAAGAATTCATCTCGAATCTCACAAATTATATAAGATCTGGAATTAAAATGGACTTCAGCATATTTCACAAACTCATGTACTAGATTTTAAAAGTAAACTAAGTATTAGCTACGGGTGTAAGAACTTAACACTCAAAAGTAAGAAGATACTTTCACATTCTACAATTCAATATGGATTCGATTCAGTTTGTATCTCTCAGTGTGTAAATCAAGCATTTGGGTTGAACTACATTTCAAATAATATTTATATAAGAACTGTTATTAAAGTAGCAATATTAAAAATATAATACTATAGAAAAGGGGCACCCTATAATTTTGTATGCTTAATGAGTAACCTACCTGACTCCGGCAATGTAGTATAGTCCAGTCTCAGCAGACGTCTCCCCTGGACAGCCAGACCATCTCCCCGCTCACGCCCAGTATTGGGCCTTTCCTCTTCTTCGAAATCTTCCTCCAGTTCAGGCTCTTATAAATAAAAAGGTTATCATTTAAGTTGTAAATTATGAAATAGTAGTAAGTGAATGATAAATATCTGCCTCTCTGTGTCATTAAATCAAACTAGTAGGCTGGTATGATAATAAATGTGATACATTAGAATCTCCACAGGGTGTCAGGAGGGGTGATACACACCTGGACTACCAGCACTCTGGGAGGCTGAGGTAGAAGAATCTCAAGTTCAAACCCAGCCTGGGAAACTGAGGGATTAAGTGAGCTCCAAAATAAAAATATAGGGCTGGGGATATAACTCATTGCAAAGGCATTGAATTCAATCCCCAGTACTGCAAACAAAACCCCAAATACATTATTCAGGTGTCTACGGTCAGAAAACAGAAAAGCAAAAATTTCCAAATATTACCCTTTTCCTTTCCCAAGATTGTGCTCAGACCACTTTCCTGCCCTATGTACTCAAACTGTTATTGTACTTGTGATTATCCTTATCACATTAATTTAATGATTTGTGTCTTACACCACTAGCACCTAGCATTTTACACAGCATTAGTAGTCACCAGGAAATGTTGAGTGGGGAAAAAAAATACATGAAATAGGGCCGGAGATTTATCTTAGTGGTTCTGCCACCTGCCTCAGAAGTGCAAGGTCCTCAGTTCAATCCCTGGTACCAAAAAAAAAAAAAAAAAAAAAAAAAAACACCATAAAATAGCCCAAACTGATGAACATTCTGCAAACCAACTGATCCTCAAAAATGTCAAGCATCATGAATGACAAAGAAAAATCAAGAACTATTCTAAATTAAAGGCAAGTAACGAGATGTGGCAAATAAATGTCATGTATATCTTAGACTGGATTCAATTAGAAATCCTATAAAAAGTTACTGAGACAACTGGGAAAATTTATATACTGTGTATTCTCAATGTTAATTTGCAGATTTTGATCACTATATAGTAGCTATCTAAGAGAATGAATTTTTCTTCTCAGCCTATGCAAATGCTGAAACAAAGAGGAGAAAGTTGGGCTGGGGATTTAGCTCAGTGGTGCCAGACCTGCCTCACAAGCACAAGAACCAGAGTTTGATCCCTGAGACCAAAAAAGAGGAGAAAGTCATAAAACCTAAAATCTTAAACAACTCACCATTAAAAATATAGTATCAAAAAATGTATGCAAGTATATGCAGGAAGGGAGGAAGAGAAGACAGTATAAATAAGAACAATGTGACAAAAAGCTATCAACAATTTTTAAATCTAGGTTAAAAGTATGAGTTAATTATACTATTGTTTTGTAACATTTCTGTAATTTTGTTTTTGAAAATTATTAGTCATCAGGAATGAATTCACATTATTTGTTTTCTTATTTACTGTTATTTTAAATGAGAATATAAGGATAAACCACAAAACATGCGTAAGTCCTATTTTTACCATAGTGTATTAAAAGCAGTTCATATCAACTATTAAAGAATCCTAAAGTCTTGGATAGAATTTCAAATACAATTAAAATATTATTTTATAGTTATAATATCTACCCCATTGGAGTAAACAAAATTTTCTTTGTTAAAATAAAATACAGTGGTATTTCACAAACACTTGTTTATGAACCATTCGGTTTATAAACAAAAGCATTTGGCAAAATTTTGTTTTTGTTTGAAAACTCTACATCAGGTGACAACCACAGCCATCTTTCCTGCACAAACACAAATGTGGCCATTTTTTCCAAAATCAAGGAACAAATTAAGTTCATGAACCGAGGTACTATTGTACAAATTAAGCTCCAAAGGTCTGAGATGTAATTTTCCATAAATGAAACCCATCTAGCACAAAGTACCAAAAGTAACAGCAATATTATCTGTGAAACACAAAATACTGTCTTATCCTGAACATAAAGGAATGAGTAGAAACACATTAATTGGCATTGTTGTCAACCATATTATAGAATCTTTAATCAGTAAATCACTAGAATAATCTATGATCTACATGTTTTGCTTCAAAACACTGTATTTAGGAGAAACAATTTGTCCCATGTTAATCTCAGGGTAACTTTTAAAAATTTTTCTAACTCTAAAAAAATCCTCTCACAAAACCACTTTTTTAAAAAATCATAATAAGCAGGTACAGGGGTAAACACCTGGAATCCCAACTACCTGGGAGGCTGAGGCAGGAGGATAAGTTTGAGTCCTACCTGAGCAACTTAGCATGAGCCTGCCTCAAAGTAAAGAATAAAAAGGCTTGTGGATATAGTCTAGTGCAAAAGCCCTCGGTCTGATCCCCAGTACCAAACAAAAACAAAAAACTAAACCAGAGATTGCATGCCTGATACTGAAAATTCAGTATCCTAAATTATCCAGCTTTTATCAAACTTATAAAAAAATCAATAGAATCATCCACTAACTCATTTCTGGAGATGCTCTTTTTCCACTGAAGAGGGTTTATTCTTCAGCCATTATTGAGTTATCTGACAGTGCAGACAACTGAGTTTTAAGCATTTAAACAAAACCATTTACCTTTTTTTGTTTTTGCAATAATATGGATAGTACGGCACAAACTTTAAAACAATATACACATTTTGTATTTACCAGTCAAATGTTCCTTGGTAAAGCACAATCCCTGAGCCTCAGTTCTCTCAATTAGAAAAAAGAAAAAATTTTTCAAAGCGAGGGACTTATGTAAACTAAGCTACAAACTACACCTTATTTACCGTTCCAGCCAATTTTCAGGCACTGTTTCTAATATTTTCTTTTTCCTTTTCTGTTATGTCATAAATATGAGGCACATATGCACATACATGAGGCACACACACACACACCAAAGTTTTCTTTTCTCCCTTCCCTTCACCTTCAGCTGCAAGTTCTTGGTCGTCTCTCTCCTGACCAGGTGCATCATCTTGAATTTCAGCAGGTGGCTCCTCTTGTTGAGGTTGTTCATTACTGGGCTGCTGGGCCTAGAGGTGTATGTGTATGCAAAGTTTATTAATATATGATTAATACAAATCTACAGAGTACATATATACTTCTGATCATAAGTGAGTATAAAGGACATTTTTTCTGGGCCAGGGATTTAGTTCAGTGGTGCCACTGCCTGCCTCACAAGCTCAAGGTGCTGAGTTGGATCCCCAGTACCAAAAAAAAAAAAAGACGTTTTTTCCAACACTATATAAAGTTTCTCTTCCCAAAGAGTGGTTCATCAAAAAAAAAGGTACCTGAAAAGACTTTGGAAACTATTTTAGGCTATGATGCAAAGGATGTATGTGGCATTAATCAAGAAGCATGAGAAAGAAGTCATAAGCAAAATCTGGGGACTATTAAGACTGTCGATCCAAGCAAATCCAGAGCACCTAAATCAATGTTCCTTAAATAAGATTCCGTTATTTTTATTATCATGAAAAACCTTTCTTGTATCTCTACTAGTTTAAAAACATCATCACAAATTTCTAGTAGAAAACATCAAATATTAAAACACTCACAATCACAGGCTCAAGAGGATGAGTAGGTTCATCATCTTTCTGTTCTCCAGATTTAGGTGTCGATTTTACTTGCTCACTCATTTCACACTGAAAGCAGAATAAAGTGATTTGGAAAACCCATTTAGAAGGATAACTAGGGGCTCATATTAAATATAGCTCAGTGGTAGAGTACCTGCCTAGCTCACATGAAGCTGTGGGTTGATTCCCCAGCACCACCAAAAAACAAAACCAAAACAAAAAGATTATATCTGACTACTTCTAAACAGTGGCATGTATTTTGTTTGTTTGGTTTTTGAGACTATGTAGTTGAGACTGACCTGGAACACACTATGTAGCCCAGGCTGATCTCGAACTCACAGAGATCCTCCTGCCTCAGCCTCCTGGGTGCTGGGATTACAGGCATGTGCCACCACGCCCGGCAGCATGTAATTATTTTAAATGGCAAAAATATTTCCAGAATACAGTGAGTCTTGGAATAACCTAAAGCGTGCCTGCTTTTCAATTATACCAGATCTAGCAGCCTGAAAAGTCAACTATTTATGTCATAGCCAAGTTGACAGAGTAACTTTCTTAAAACGTTTTAAGACATGTGGCAAAATACAAGGCTTTGTTGCTCTAGATTCCCTGTCACGGAGATAACTTATGGCCCATCGTGGTCAACTCAAGAAAACACCACTAATGAAATAAAACTCGTGACTACTGCTTATGTCACAATCCCACTAAGTAGGGCTATTTACCCCCTAAAATAAAGTGGTAATGCAGGGCTTCATAGTCCCTTCTTGTACCCACTAAATCCATTTTGGTACTTTTCTTGACAGGGATAAGAAATTGTAACACAGAGCAATGAGCAGCCCCTCACTAGACCCTCTACAAATCCCGGAGATGCAGTCACAACTCCACAGCGTCCCAGAAGCCCGGCTCCTCTCTCACTATGCGCACCAATACCCTGTTCAGGTCCCTTCGACGACTCTGTAGGTTATACCAGGTGCTCCCAGAGCAGATACTTCCGCTGTACCCCCAACACTAACCCTGTCTTCGCCTGAATCCTTCCTTCCACAGCCTAGCTTCTTTTATCCGAGCCTTGCCAAAATGATGAAGCCCAGGTCAGTGGAGGCTCTGCCTGTAAAGGCAAGCACGACGATCTCAATGCCTTCCCAACCCCGCCGCCCGGTAATCTCTACGTCACACTCATTTTGGGAGGGCTGACGTGGGGACCTACTGGCTATGTCACAATAGGTGAAAAAGAGTCCAAGACCATGGGGAGGTAACCACCTGGCTTGGCGCTCGCCCCCAAGTGCATAGCGGCCTCGCCTGGAAGGCACACAGTGAGCATGTGCGGAGGCCCGGGCATGCGCACTGAGGCCCGGGCATGCGCACTGAGGCCCACAGCCGCCTCAAGGCTTCGGCTCTCTGTTCCGCTGTACCCGGGTAAAGACCCTAGAATCTGTCTTCCGTTAGCTGTTTCAGGTACCTCTTAAACTCACATACCTCCACGTACACCTCCCTCCTCAGCCCTCCATCTTTCCCCCTACCAGCTCACTAGACCATAAAGCACATGGCCACCATGCTGCCTGGAAGGGAAAGGTTGAAGACTGCAAGACCCTTCCTCCTCCAAAGTTTCAGACTACTCTGCCCAAAACAAGCAAGCTCTTTCTCACATTTAACTTTTGGTAGGACTGATCTACTTCCCTAAGCCCCAGCAAGCAAAATCCAAGCAAGACGCAAGAAGGGAACCCACACAGCCTGGCAATCACCATGCGATGAGCAGTGGCTGACTGGAGACGAACAGTGGGCATGCGCAGTGAGGTCCGCAACCGCCTGGGAGCTGCAGCTCCCTGCCCCACCTCCTCCCCTGGTCCTCACTAGGGACCCAAAAATCTGTCTTCTGTCAGCTGCTTCAGGCCCCTGTGGGACTCACATACCTCTAACCACACCCCTACCCCTCTCTGGTCCACTGTCTTCCCTCATACCGGCCCACCAAACGACAAAGCCCATGGTGGTACTGCCTGTGAGGAAAAACAAAACAAAACAAAAACCGACGACCTCCAGGCCGTCCTCCTTCAAAAGCCCACACATCGCTGCCCAACACACCCAAGTCAACTGGCTCCCCCTTATACACTTAAAATTTCTAGTAGAACCGATCTACCTCCCTACCACTGACATCCCCACAGGTGAAACAAGTCAAGACACAGGGACACTAACGGCACCCTAAGTGCCCCCCAACTCCCACGCAGTGAGCGTGGGTGGATGGGAGGTGCATAGGTGCACATTGGACAGGTGCACAGAGGCTTCCACCTCCCCGCAACACAGAAAGTCTTTGCACAAATCAGAGATACACTTGGACTGAGGATGTAGCTCGGTGCCACAGCACTTCAGTAGTATGGGTGAAGACCTGGTTTCAATCCCCAGCACCCACCCCAAAAAAGCGAAACAATCTAAAAAAGAAACAAATGGAAATTTTGAAATTAATTAATATAATTACAATAATTGCTGAAAATGTCATAAATTTGATGAGATAAATCTACAGATTCAGGAAACTTCGTAAACCCCAAACAGAATAGACAGAGAAATCAGCGCCCAAGATCCCATAATTAAACTACTGAAAACTAAAGCAAAGAAGAGTAGGGGCTGGGGATTTAGCTCAGTGGTTCCGCTGCCTGTTTCACAAGCACAAGGTCCCGAGTTAAATCCCCAGTACCAAAAAAAAAAAAAAAAGATGAGTAACTTGAAATAATCCAGATTAAAAAGGATGCACTACTTACAGAAGAATAATAATTTAACTCACTGCAGAATTCTCACCAGAAGCCATAAGCCTGGTAACAAAAGTCTCCATATTTTCAAAGAAAAGAATTATCAACCCAGACTTCCATGTCTATTAAAATATCTTTCAGAGATTTGCTCAAGCGCCGGGAGGCAGCCTGGGCCCCGATCCACCAAGGGAAGGAGAACCACGCCTGCTCCCGACCCAGCCGCCATTGCTCAAGAGCCGGGAGGCAGCCTGAGCCCCGATCCACTGCGGGAAGGAGAGCCGCGCCTGTTCCCGCTATTGCTCAAGAGCCGGGAGGCAGCCTGGTCCCCGATTCACCGCTGGCAGGAAAACCACGCCTGCTCCCGACCCAGCCTCCATAGCTCAAACTCCGGGAGGTAGGCTGGGCCCTGATCCACCTGGGGAAGGAGAACCACGCCTGCTCCCGACCCAGCCACAATTGCTCAAGCACCGGGAGAGACAGCCTAGGCCCCGATCCACCGCGGGAAGGAGAACCATGCCTGCTCCCGAGCCAGCTGCCATCGCTCAAGAGCCGGGAGGCAGCCTGAGCTCCGATCCACCGCAGGAAGGAGAGCCGCGCCTGCTCTCCACCCAGTCGCCATTGCTCAAGAGCCGGGAAGGTAGCTGCGCGGGCACCCTTGAACTCTGTAAGTTCCCCCCCACCGTACTCTCAGACTTCCTGTGTCAGTCTTTGGACACACTCTGCAGAGGCAGAGGTGGTCATCAAGGGCATTTTTCTGAGTTCCCAACTTTGAACATCTTTAAAGAAAGGGCATGGGAAACCTGTAATAGAACGTTGTGGAGTTCAACCATTCAGAAGGTTGGGGAACTCAATCTGGGCCTTGCAGCCAGAGGTCAGTCAGCTTCATGGGGTTCAGCCATCAGCTAACTGAGATCAGGGGTCTTGCGTCCTCGCTCTGTCTGAGCCATTAAATGGTAAATACACTATATTGAAATTTTGTTCACTGCAGACATGTTCTGGACTGCTTCTTGATTTCAATTTAATTCAAATGATTTAAGGGTGATAGACTAGTGACTACCACAGGTGGTCACAGTTGTGCTTGCTTAATGTGTTGCTGATTGTATCAATTGGGATAAACCATTGCAGATGATTTGATGAGATGTTTCTCTGATGTTATGAAGATGAGAATGTCTGTGGGTCGTTAGAGACACAGAAGCTAGGGCGCAAATATATCAGGAATATTTGGGTGGTAATCCAGAGATTAAACCAAGGACAGTCCGACAACAAAAATAAAAATGAGAAAACACTTAAGCAAGACACAAGGACAGAC